AACTAGAAAATAGCGACACTGAGAAATTTTGTTTTCTACTTTATGAAAAGTTCTTGAAATATTTATAAAGCTACTTGAAAGGCTCTATTTGGAATGCCTGAATTATACAAGGCCCATTAGAGACACTTTTGAAGGTATCATCTTAGAAGATTCAAATCATAAGAGAGGCTGAAAAGTTAACTTTTTATTCTTTTTTTTTGTTTTTGTTTTGCAATGCTCAGTACAACTTTTAAATAAGGCATATGAAGCCATTTAGCAAAACTCAGTATTTTTTCTCAAGGTGAAAGTACAATATCAGTGACACCAAGATTATAGTACCATAGGCTTTCTAATATCAGAATCAGCTTTATTTGACACGTTTGTACAGTCAAACAAATGGTTCATGATATTTAACCAAAGACAAAAGAGAAATCCTACAACTGAAATCTGACGCCGCTCCATTTTTGTTTGCATTTTGTGAAGAACGAAGTTGTGCTAATTTCTTCTTCAGAGGTTTCTGTGCCACTTCCTTCAGTACTTCCTGGTTCAGTGCCACCACAGGCGAGGAGGGGAACAGGTTGCTCACAGGTTTAATTTGTTTGACTCAGCTCAGTGTGAAAGGAAAACCGCACCAGTTCAAAGTGGAACAAATGTTTCAGTTTTGGTCCCCAATACAACCGAGTTTACAGGACTATCAAATGTGGAAACACCGTAAGATTTGAATAGAAATTCTCGAAGTATTAGAGTTATCATTTAAAAATTGCATTACCATCTCATATGTTAGTATATTCCCTTGGCTAGCAATGATAAAACTGTGGCCTCTGTCTGTTTTCTGTAGTGAATAATAGGTTCTTAGAAGCTTCAAACCAAATCCAGTATGTTCCATGGTAGAGCAAATTTTCTGCACTCTGTTTAGCCTTCATGTTATCTTTAAGCCTTACTCTCTCTTGCTCTGCCTATATGAAATGCAGATATGTGTTGACATGTAGAAAAAACTTTCTTTAGAAATAAAGCCTAGTGGATAAAGATATAAATCAGTCAATCCCTGTAAAACACCAACATGTTGTTGCACCTCCATAAAAATACAATGATTTGAAACGTCGCAATCCACCTGTCTTTTTGCTGTTTTTCAAATGTAGATTTTACTGAATTGAATGTGACAGACTTCATTTACGAGTCTGTTCCCATGTAGCACAACCGAGTTAACTGGCCTTAACTGACGTCTCGCATAAGGACCGCCACACGTACATTTGTTGCACTCTCGATGCCGACACATTTTCACGCAGCTCCATTTCAAAGCCACGCAGTTTAAAAAAAACGTGCAATTATGGAAATGAGCCGTAACATCACATGTGACTCGACCGGGGAACGGCGCAGCTCCTGGTTAAGTGACTGCTTCTCTGCTGACCCTGAGTAGGCAACAAACAGCTCCAAGGTCGAGTGCAGTCATTTGGGAGAAAACGGTTGCGCTCGAAGGGACTGCAGGGAACGCAAACACCGGCGGCGCACAAGCGCGTTCCGGTCCTAAATGTCTGGAGCGGCGAGGTGGAGCGGCGGCAGGAAAAGAAGGTCAAGAACCTTTCAGCAAAGACGCTAAGCAGCTCCCGTTCCGCATGCAGAAACCATAAGACCTGTTCAATAAATCATGCGTCTCTGAAACATTTACAGCTCTTGTGTTTCCATGAAACGATAAGTCCTAAACATGTTGGATGTCTGAGAGAAATAGACATGAACTTAGTGTTCTAATTCTCTCTAAGCCACAAGTTACATGCGACGTACTCTCTCAAAAAGGATGAGGAAGAGGAGGAGGAGGAGGGCGAGGCAGAGCCTTGTTGTGCAGAGGCATGTCTTCTGTTCGGTCCCAGAGGTTCAGAGGAGCTGTTACACTCTGGAGGGGTTTTTTTTCTATGGAGGTCACAAGGTTATTATATAAACAATTCACATGGACGGCCTCAAACACCCAGCGGGAATGTTTAATTCAGCGCTCGCATTTTTTTCCCCCTTCGGCGTGAAGACGCAGACGTGTCCGGCTTGCGCCGTGCCGCATTATCTCCCAGCCTCCGTTTCCCCCTTTGCTGCGCGTTTCGCGGAGGCAGCCTGAAGACCGCGCTTAATTAATTTGGTCAGCTGCCTTGGATAAACTACACTGATGACATCAATTAGATCCTAATGAAAACAGATAAAAGCCACGGAAAAGCAAATGGAATTTCTGAGCAGGACTCATCAAAGTCTCTGCGTTGGAACAAATTCCCATTACGTCCCCCATAAAAGCCTTTAATTTGCAAAGCTCATGTCTGGTTTGGTACTTAGAAGTACACGGTCAAATGATTCAGTGTAAGTCGTTGCGCCGAGAAGAGCCAAATCAGAATTTAATTTGGCACGGAACCTCCTTATCCCGTCTGAAACATGTGGCGGGACGCAATCCTTGGATTAGCGCGGACTTCAGAAGCGCACACTTGGCATGTTTCGTGTCCTCTAGCGGAGCAGACACCTTGTGTGCCGGTTTGTAACACGACATTTTACATTTTCAATCTCGGGGAGCGGGGAGGGGAGGTGGGACACCCGTGCTTACTGCAGATTATTACTTCTTAGTTAAGCAAATTGCTGCAATTATGTGTGTCAGTCGATTGACGAGGGATAACGAGGCGCTGCTTCTTTTGTCTCCTCCACTCTCCTTCTCTCTCTAATAACTCCGTGACCTCTTTGAAAACGCCTGATTTGATTTTACAGCTGGAGACAGATAACGGTTCAGGCAAATGAAGATGAATCAATTAATTCAGCTGTTAGTGCTAATTTCTCAGCACTTTGCAGAGATGCTGGATTTAAACGACGTGCACCTCTCTACCGGAATGAGAGGAATAGACTGTTCTTGTGTCTGAAACTATGAGGGAAAACGACATCTGGCATGTGGAAATTGGCACGTTGCTACCCGAAAGATTTGGTGATTTCACCAGGATAGACCGGCACAGAGTTGCACATAATTAACTGATGAAAACAACACAGAGTTTTCAGCATGGAAGCCAAATTATTCAGACAATCTGACCAAACGGGCCTTTGGTGACTCTGGAGGAGCTGCAGAACTCCACAGCTGAACTAAAACTATTGGTCATGTTCTCCAAAAATCGATTCCAATTAGCAAATGTTGGTGGGGAAAAAAAAACAACTAAAAAGAAAAAAGTTTCAACTAAAAGGACAGAATTTGGATCACTTTTACTGTTTAACCAAGTTTTGATAAAATAGTCAAATGCAGATTTGGGGGCAACTAAAGTCTTCTCTGGAGTAAAACTCACTAAGTAGAAGTATTCCTATTTACTGTGAAATTAAAAAGCCTGACTATTAAAACATCAAACATTTTCCAATCCAAGATGATTTTAATTTGTCCGTAATAATCGTACGCCGAGAAGGCGCAACTAAATTGTTTTAGTTCTTAGTTTTAGTTTTAATTAAAAATTAAAACATCTGTTTCAACCACATGTGTTGGCAGGCCAAATTTCAGTCATTTTTTAATTGTATTTGTGGGGGCGGAGCTACAAAATCAGTCGAGGGGCCCCCCAGGCCGCACTTTGGACACCAGCATGCGAAAGAAGACGATGTGGTCAGGTGAGACAAAGACAGTTATTTTGGTGTACATGCAAAACGCTCTGTGGAGTGGGAAACCACCTCCGTCTGACCACACCATTCCTATGGTGAAACATGGTGGTGGCTGTGTCATGCTGTGGGAAGGATTTTCTTCAGCAAGGACCAGGAAGGTGGATGGAGTTGAATTCTAGGTAATACTGGGGGAAAAGAAACCTTTTATAGCTTGGAAAAGACAGAGGTTAAAGTTCACCTTCCAGCAGGACAATGACCTGTAGAGTTTGGATCTGTGGTGTCCAAACGTTTTACCACCTGGATCAAATGTGTCGAGGAGAACGAGCTTGTGGGCCACAAAAGATGAATTTTCATTTATTAAACATGAGTAAATGTTGTCTTCTATCTGCTCCATGTTAAACTGATGCTATAAAACACACACTGTTTTGCTAAAGCTAGCAAAGTGTGATCTTTGTGGTCTGGGTAATCTTTGTAAATCTCTGTTCTCACATATTTTCCCTATTTTAAAAAAAGCCATAGAGTGTTCCAAACTTTTGGTGTGAATTGTTTTCAGTTTTCTCCGTCTGAAATGAGTTTTCTCAGCCACAAGAACAGGATATGGGTCACTCTTTGGTTGAAACCGCTTGATAAATGGGTAGGCCACAGTCTGCTTTTGTGTTGCTGGATGCTTGCAATCCTTTTTACACCACATCTTCCAATTAAATTAAAAGCAAAATTCTTTGAGTTTTATGTAATTCCTTTGATTTTAAGAAATATATCTAGATCTTTTTAAAAAGGCCTGATATGAGTGAAAATTATAGTCTCTGTTTTTGTTTTAAATATGCATCGGTTTTGGACCAAATTTGCAATGGACTTATGACACCCATTGTTTAGATCCAAACATGTGCATACGTAAGAATGGTCTAGTCCAAGTTGTGAATCATGGGTAAAACTTTGAATTTGATGTTTACAGAATCTCTCCACCCAATCAGAATGATGAACACGGACAAACTCTGCACTTTTCAAACTTGGTGAAATAAAACCAACTAGTATTTTTCATCCATGACAGTTGATCACAACTTGCAGGTGTTCTACCATCTAAAATCCCAATAATGTACAGATTAGAGTCGTAGCGATTCCTCGAATGATTCGAATACCTCGATTATTAAAATTCCTCGAGTCAAATGATCTGCCTCGAAGCTTCGTTAAATAATTTTTTATTATTCTGTGTTTGGCGGTGCAGAACAATCTGTTGCTTGCTAGTCTCGAGTCATAGATGTTTATTCTTTTACTTTTCCTGCCCCCCAATAATGTTTTATTCTTTAGGTTTTGTGTTCAGAAGAAACTCTTACATAATTGTGACAGTTTGCAGAAAAAAAATAGGAAGTTGTTAGTAAACTATTTTTATTTTTTCTTTGTGTGTGTGTGTGTTTTCGCCTCCATCCCACCAGACTACCCTCCCCCTCCTCCCCCTGCCGAAGAGTTTACTGGTTTCCCGTCACCGCCCGGTTCCTTCCCCCCTCCGCCGGCGGATAACTCATTCGATTACCAGGTAAGACGAGCTGCTGCATTGCATGCTGTTGGCCGTCGACTCTCATAGGGCCAGCACAGAAAGCAGAGACGGCATGGAGCTCCAACGCAAAACTTGTCTTTCAGTTTGAGCTGGGGCCAGCTGCAGAGAACCCAGGGACTCATACTCCGCTCTACTGCAGGATGGATGGAAGGCTGACACCTAATGGTGGAGCCCGGTCATTTAGCTTTGCCTTGCTAGTCATAATACCCACAGGCATCTATCCCCTTTGGCCCCTCGGGATATGCGGCCTCCCAGCTCTCATCGACTCTCTCAGCACTTGACCTCTGCTGAGAAATCCTCCAAGTGCTTCACATTCCTTTATTCGGTGTTGGCAGCGAGGGTAGAAACGGCGAGCCAAACGCTTTCTGTCCAAATTATAACAAAGTGTTGAGTAAGGTGAATTTGGGGATTTCTGCTCAGCCGGAGCAATGCGGGGCCGAGCCGGCTGGCAGATCTGCCTCCCTGCACCGCCTTCAGATTTGGCCCTGGCTCAGAGGAATGCAGGGAGGTCCCATCCAAACGAGCTTCCTTTACTAGAAATCTATACAAATGTTTCTGCAAATCCTCAAAACTCCACACAATCGCAGTGGCTATGGGACAAGTTCTCACAGTTCATGGTACTGCTCCCCTTTCTACTTGTGGTTTAAAGCGACAGTATTATGTGTCTTCCAGGCACATAGTGCCATTTTATAGCAGAATTAATGAATTGTTATCTTCAGTTGTTATATTATCAGGTCTGAGAGGTAAAGATGAAGTATGGATTTTAAAGGGACAGTATTATGTAAAATTGACTTTTTTGAGCTTTACATCATCTTATGTCATTCCTTAACCAAAAACATACCTGAAGTGTTGCTTTGATTCTTTCATGCATATTGGAGAAATCCTTTACTCTCCCATGGCATGGTGCAAAACATCTTGGTGGACCTAGCTCCTCCTCCTTGGAGCTGCAGTTTCTATGTGCCTAGAAAACTACTGTTCCTATAATATAACTTAATATAAGATTAATCCACTCTTTAATTTTTTTAGGCATTTAAGATAGTAACTGTTCATAGTCTCTCTGAAGAACCCTGCATAGAAAAGACCCTGATATATAAAGATTCCCTAATGTGAACTATTCAACTACAAATCAAAGTGAGTAATGATTGGTTACTGTAAAACACTTAAGACAGAAAAATGTGGGGTTAGAAACAAGTCAAAATAAAAACTGCATATCAGGGTTTTTCTTTTGTTTGTTTTTACCTAAAACTGATTTCCATTTTTAGGAACGGCAGACTAAGTGCCACCAGTGCTATTTCCAAGACCTCAACCCATTAAGATCCAGTCATTGGTTTTGCAACAAGGCAAAGGAAAACCACGTTCTGAACACACGTCAGACGGAAAAGCCTGAATAAGAGTCCATTCAACAGTTTACACTGTTGAATGGGATAAAAATGCAACCTGACGGACCTTGTCGCTTAGAAAACCTCGCTGTCAGAATGTCAACTTTTTTTCTGTCGTAAGAAGAAATGCCAACGTTACAAAGTACCCAAAGCCTTCTCACTTCTCCTTTCCTCTCAAAGCCTCAAATGGAAAAATACACATGTATAAATACATTTATTGAAACTTTCACCCCCCCACGCCCCCCGAAAAAAAAAAAATCCCATTAAATGCCTTTATTGAAAAAACAAATGCATGCCAGCTACCAACTTCTTATTCTTTTATTTATCTTGGACTTCCCGTTTTCTGCTCTTCAGCCTCTAAAAGGATTCTTGCTGGCAGTCTAATTCCCTAATATAGAACTGTTATCCTAATTATACATCCCCTAACCAAACCACAACTTTCCATTTTTCCTCTTTATCGGGCGGGGAAAAAAAGACGACGGTTATCAATCAGAACGTCTTTCTCTTGGCTCTAGCAGAGAAATCCTATATGCCAAATGAACAACACATGCATTAAACTGTATTTAACGTCGGAGAAGGCAGAAAAAGTGATCTTCATCACCCAGGCAGAGAGACGTGTGGATTACGACACGCAAAAAGACAAATATCTCGTTTTGGCCGCCATCCGCGTTGTAAATTCCCACAAAGACTGTGACTTCTTCCCCTCTTCCTCCTCGTTTTCACTGCTAAACAAGTTTGGCTGCTGTTTTATTTTTGAATATCTATTTTTTTTTTTTATTGGGTGGGCGGGGGGCTGGGGGTAAATTCCTTTGTTGATTCGTTCGGAGCCATTAGCGCGCCTCTTTGTTTACCCCCCGCTCGCGACTGCCTCAGATGTTTTTAGGGAGACGCTCTGCAGGCCCTGCCTCCGTAATGGCTTGTGACAGGTAATCCAAACACATAACATTAGAATGAGAAGCAGTCATTGATCCAAGCAACTGAAAAAGCCCCCGCAGGCAATTGCAAGAAGTCGTCTTGCAGTCACGAGCGCGGTTCAGAGGCCCTAAAAATACATCTGTCATTTTCGTGGAGAAATTCCCGGGAATTTAGCAGAAATCCCTGCCACTAATGGTCACGTCAGTTTAAGTATTTCCCAGATATCGCGGTCACAATATTTGTGCTTCCTCTACTGGAATATTTAGGGGTCATATGATGTGATGAGGTAGCATATTTCTCTAAGGCAAAAAAAAAAAAAATCACGGAAATGTGTGGATTAATAAATCAGTAGGCGCTGTTATAGTGTTCGTGATGCTTTCAAACCGAGCTCCCCCACAAACACGGCGCTTCTCGTCTCCATTAAGAGGAGATGGGGTGACAATATTAGTTAGAAAATATCCGGCTTTAATCTCGACTGCTGTTGCCTCTGATTGAATCGTCCCCGGCTGGGACCGCGGCGATCGTGTCGCTTCTTAATGGAAGAGCAGGAAGAAGCTGGAGGTGAATAGTGCACCAAGTTTACGAAAGCCTCTCTCTCTCTCTCTCTTTATTTCTCTTTCTTTTTCTCGCGCTCTCCCTCTCGCCGCCTCTCCCTCCAAGAAGTCTCCGCGATTGATGTGCGGCTTTCGGGAGGATCGCGTGAGGTCAAGGTGAAACGGGAACTTTGAAAACCGTAATCCAAAAGTCGAAGGACAGCAGGAAAGAAAGGAGGAGAGAGTGTCTTTGTGCGGTACAGAGGCAGAGTTGCTCTGAGCTTGTTGAAGGCTTTGACATGAACTTTGAAAGGCAGTTTAACCCTGTCTAGCTCAAATCTTTTCTTTTAGCTGTGGCTCAGGTTAACAGACTTGGATTTTGAAAGTTTCGAAGAAAAGAAAGGAAGTTACAACAATCGGACGTGCACCAATCAGGATTTTCCTGGCAGAGACCAATTACCCGTTACCTTTGAGGTCTGACTTACATCATTCCAGATTTAAATAATGCCGGATTTTTTTTCTAAGTTTATAAATATGCTACATTCTTCCAACACAAGTGAATGATTTCCAAGTTTATTCCAATTTATGCATCAGACCTTTCTCCAAACTTTATCAGACTGTTGTTGATCTGCTTAAAGGACCTTTGCAGATCCAGCACTTCCTGTCCTCCACCCTGAAGGAGAACAAAGCAAAAACTAGTCAAAAAATGACTAAACAAAAAAAAAAAAAAAAAAACAAGGGGGCAACAAAAAAGGATTATTTAAAAATTATTTTCCA